TGTGACTCAAAAATAAAAGTTTTAGTAAGAAAAAATCTAAGAATAAATATTTAAATCGCATCTTACTACCATGGTCCGTTTTCGAGTTAGGGCGTTGTGAGGTCACACTGGATTATCACGGACAGTATTAACACGTGTAAGAATTTTCCAAAACAAAAGACAATTTATCTCCTATCTCCTAGAGCGAATTGCAATCACTCAAAGTTTAGGGTACGATTTACTGACGACTGAACGAACAGAAGACTGCGATTTCGGCGGTTGTGACATCACAAGTTCCTGCATAATTTATCTTCAAAATGAATTTTCTCAGAGACTATTTTGAATATAGGACTGCGGTTTTCACGAGAGATCTTAGAATTTTATTCTCGATTTAAATAGCTCTAGTCGTTTTTTAGGGTCACACCCCCTTTAAAATCTAATGTTCTCTTGTAATAACTGTGTTACGTTTTACTATCAAAAAAAGTGTTTATTGCGAAAGAAGAACAAAATGTACAGAGTGTTTTTTTATACAGGGTGACACAAGGAATAGGGAACAACCTATAACTTTTTTAATATACAGGGTGAGTTACTAAGCGCGCGGTGGTCCATATCTCCTATACTAACAGAGATCGGAGAAAAAACTAAATACAAAACTTGTAGATAAACATGAGTACTACATTCCTAAATTATTTTCCAGTATACAGGGTGGCCCAATAACTAGTAGTGTCATAATGTTATGTTTTTTTTTAATGACTCCCCCTGTATATTATGACATTTCTGGATTCTGCGGGAAATATTACATATTTCATGTGTAAAGTCATATAGCTTCAACTGTTTCGGAAATATTGACAGTTGAAAATTGACTTTTTTGCATCTTTGACAGACTGTGAAATCTAAACGGTTAATTTTAGAGGAAAACGGATTTTACATTCCTGTCTTAGATTTTCATAAGCTATCATTTGACACCAACTTTGAATTTAACTGAAGAATAATAATTTAAGCGGATTTTTTAATCATGGATTAAATTCAAAATTGGTGCCAAATGATAGTTTATGGAAAACTAAGATAAGAATTTAAAATCCGTTTTCTTGTAAAATTAACCGTTCAGGTTTTACAGTCTGTCAAAGATGCAAAAAAGTCAGTTTTCAACTGTCAATATTTCCGAAACAGTTGAAGTTAGGTATATGACATTGTACATAAAATATCTCTAGAATTTTCCGCAGAATCCATAAATGTCATAATATACAGGGGTAGTCATTTAAAAAAACATAAGTTTGTGTCACTACTAGTTATCGGGCCACCCTGTATACTGGAAAGTAATTTAGGAATGTAGTACTCATGTTTAACTACAAGTTTTGTATTTAATTTTTTCTCCGATTTCCGTTAGTATAGGAGATATAGACCACCGCACGCTCAATAACTCACCCTGTATAAGTTGAAAATTTGAAATTTGGGGAGCTTAAATAAGGCAACTTTTTGAGTTTTTTAGAAGTAAATTGAAATTGCGTTACCAGTCACTTCCGGTTAAACCGGAAGTGGCCATAACTTTCAATTTTCAAATGGGACACCCGGTATTTCACGAGTTTTCTAGCATCAGCAAATCATTTTACGTATGATAGGACCATTTTTGAAAGATTTATAACAAAACCAGAAAAAAAAAAATTGCATTTAAAAATAAATATATTTCGAAAGTCGTTGTGGGTTATTTCTCAGCAGATTTTAAAGATGTTGATATGTATCAAAAAATAGGGAAAAAAATCTAGTTTCAAAAAATTGATAGGTCACGGCTTAGTTACATTTGAAAAATATGAAAAACTTTGAAAAAACCTTTTTGTTTAATTTTGATCTGAAATTATGGCGTTCAGTTAGGAAAAAATTGAAGTTAAAAATTTTCCTGATATTAAGAATATCCAACTAAATCAATTTACATCAGTAGCAGTGCCGAATTTTTTTTTGTTAAAAATTTTCCAAAAATGGTCCTATAATTCTTAAAATGATCTGCTGATGCCAGAAAACTTAAAAAATACCGGGTGTCCTATTTGATAATCAAAAGTTATGGCCACTTCCGGTTAAACCGGAAGTGACTGGTAACGCAATTTACTTCTAAAATACTCAAAAAGTTGCCTCGTTTAAGCTCCCCAAATTTCAAATTTTCAACTTACATATTAAAAAAGTTATAGGCTGTTTCCTATTCCTTGTGTCACCCTGTATATTGACACCTCACCTACATCCTTTACCTTTACAGGTAGAAAAAAGGTGTAAATGCAAAAGTTATACACAGGCGCGGATTCAGGGAGGGGCCATGGGGGCCATGCCCCCCCCCTCCTAGATAAGAAAAAATAATTTTAAAAATCAACATTAAATCGACCAATTTTTCCGGGTTTACCAAGGCCCGTATATAACAGAATTTTATTTCATGGGGTCATTTTATCACGGACCTCTAGCCCATTCTATTTGTATGTACAGGGTGTCTGGTTATAATTTGACACCCCACCTTCAGCCTTTACCTTTACAGGTGGTAGATGATAGGTGTGCATACAAAAGTTGTGCAGTTTTAACTAAATTTTCAGAATCCATCGTCAAAAACTTGCTTGCTTCTAATATATAGTTTGTCTATATTTGTTTAAGCCGCCTTTAACATATTTGGCTCTAAAAATTGGAAAAATACTAACCTACTGACGATTTTGTGAGCCATTCTGATGAAAGCTTCAGGTAAAAAAAAAATTTGAGGCACTTGGTTTCTCTGATAGTATTTTTAAAATTTTTGAAGCCAAATATGGTGGAGACGGCTCAACTAAATATAGAGAAACTATATATTTTTGGAATCGGAAAATTGTGCTTTTCAAGAATATAGAATCAAATATATATTTATATTATTATATAGCTTGATAGTTTTATGGCTGTCTAATATTAAATGAAAAATTGAAGTTTATAGGGTTGCAGCCAAGTTTTGAATTCTTTTACAGTTTCTAAGGCATCAATAAGAGTCTCCTTTTACTTTTGAAAGCTTTCGGTAACTAATATTTGAAAAAAGTTGAAAGTATACACAAAATTTCAAATTTCTGACAATAATTTAGCTAAAACTGCTCCACTTTTGTGTTTACACCTACCTATAAACGTGGGGTGTCAAATTATAACTAGACACCCTGTACTTTCCAATATTTTGTATGCCCCCCCCCCCTTAATTTGGGTCTGGATCCGCGCCTGGTTATACAGTTTTGGCTAAATTTTTAGAATCCATGGTCAGAAACAAAAACTGAATGTCAGAAATGTGAAATGTTGCATGCTTTCAGCTTTTTTCAAATGGGATGCCCTATATTTGGTTCTTTATTCTTGAAGAGCACAATTTCCCAATTCCAAAAATATATAATTTGTCTATATTTTGTTGAGCCGTCTTCAACATATTTGGTTCTAAAAATTTCAAACATACTATAAAAGAAACCAAGTAGCTCAAACTTTACCTGCAGCATTTTTTCAATTTTTGGAGCCGAATATACAGGATGTTCCTAAATATTATGTACAAACGAAAGGGGGTGAATCTTTGGTTAATTTTATGACTAAAATTTCTAATAAACATAGGTCCACAAGCGCTTCGTTACCGATCTACTGGGTATTGAAATTTTAATTTTTTTTTAGTTTTCTCTTTATAGTTCCTCTAATCTTTGAGGGATGTAGCTCAAATTTGGAATACGCAATAGAAGCTGAATGATTGCACATGTCAAACGTTTGCCAAAATCTACAGAGTGATGTTTTTTCAGGGGTCATGCCCCCTTTTCTGCCCCGGAACTTTTTTGCGGTGCGCCGCTGGTCGATTCTGAGAAATCAAATAATTTTTCTACCCTATTTAGAAACTTTTTCTTCTCTTGTAGTTTTTTCGTATCACCGACCCTTATCGAGAAAAAAATTAAAAAACAAATCTCTGTAATTAGCTAGATGAAACTAAGACTCAATAAACCTTTTCTACCTACAGAGGCGACAATAGATGTCCCGCAGCCATATTCTTGCTAATTTTCAATGGGAATCTAGAAGTAAGACACCCCTCGCCGCAATATTCTTGCTCGGAAACATCACTGTCGAACAGTTACGCCCGATGCGGCAAACAATGAGAATAAGCGACCTGCCAACCAATCTCAAGACCAATGTAAGTTTTTTCTCAGATAACACCAAACTCTTCTGCAATCTCATCGCTAGCAGTGAAGACCTAAAATCCTACCCACTGATGGTTATCGGAATGGTGTGAAAACTGGCTGATGACCCTTAATGAAAACAAATGCACTGTACTCCACATTGGCACCAACAATCGCCTATATAATTACAACCTTAATAACATTACGATGGTATCTACTAACGAACAGAGAGATCTTGGGCGTCATTGTAACCAACAATTTAAAGTCAGAAACGCATATCTCGAAATGTATTGAAAAGGCTAATTCTTTTGCCTACCTGACACAAAAAGCATTCAAGGATCACTCAGTTACTACAATATTAAAAATATACAAGTCCTACATCAGACCCATATTAGAATATGCCCAGTCAGTCTGAAATCCTTACTATGATAAGGACATTGAGGCATTGGAAAGAGTCCAAAGAAATACCACTAGAAACTCAAGACCTCACGTCTGAAGGAGTTCGTTCTAACTTCCCTTTGTGACAGGAGGCTACAGAGATCTATTTACAACTTATAAAGTCTCAAGTAATTACTACTCTGTCAATTGTAATAACCAAAACCTTCGAGGGCACTATAGAAAATTAAGGAAGGAAAAATTTTCTAAACCTCTAATTGCTGTTGTTTAAATAAAAATAATAATAAAAATTTTTTAATAATATTATTACTAGGTTGTCAAGATTTGCTGGACAAAGATGTTATTGTATATTTTGTACGTAAAGTCATTGGGCTTCGTTAATAAGAATTCCACAAGTAATTCTTGAAGAATAAAGTATGTTTGCTATTATCTATCTGATTCAAAAATAGCGCTGATCAAGAAACTCAAATTACTAAAATATGAGGGAGTCGCTCTTACCCAAATGATATCCACTATTAGCTACCATAAACTGTTGATCCAAAGCCAAATCAGAAAATTGCATATACGGCGGACTTTTAGTGGCTGCAAGTTTTGGAGCTTGAGATTTCCACAATAACAAATCGTTATTAATCCTATTATAAATCAGTTCATAGACATGCTTGGACTCTAACTGTACCGATACTATTGGCAAAGTTAATTGAACCAATATTTGTGCATTCGACGATGTTGTTTCAATAAAATTCTTCAATTCGGCCGAGTCTCCAGGAATCACTTGCTCCTCCGATTCATCTAAAAACCATTTAAAAATAAATTCAAGAACAGAAAATAGAAAAAAAGCGTCCTACGTTTTCGATGTGTGCTATGAGGCGTGTCACTTTCGTGTACTACTTTTTTAACTCCAAAAGGTCCGGGTTCGGGATTGCCTTGATTCTCGAAAGCGCCATAAAATGAGTGGGCCATGATGTCTGGGATTATGTCTTCTTCTTCAAGCTTTTTTGGATGAATTTGAATGGACAATCTAGAAATATGTTAAATATTGTAGACTTAGAGCTGGTGAGTGTTTTATTATTTACAGTATTATTTTATTCAGTGAGGCTCATATTTTCTCCAGATATGCCTAAATGTGAATGGAATGGTGAATTTTGCTACAAGTTAATAGTCGAAGCAAGACCTCCAGCCTCTTGAATGTGCATATTTTGGACATTTCGTAAAAAGTTTTATACATAAATTGTAGAAACTATGCAGGATTATTTTTCCAAGGCTACATAGAGAAAACCTGGAGAATCAGTTTATTAACTATTGATTATAGATACCTATCCTAGTCATATTTTTCTAGGTGCAATTTCTATTTTGTCGCATTTCCAAGATATAAGCATTTCACCTCTTTGAAGGGCTGTGGGTCTTGCATTGACTGAAGACTTGTTGGGTTAGTTATTTATATGTCTTGCTCTATTGCGAGCTCTCAGACTAGTACAAGGTTCTTCATTTATAATTGTTGAAAAAATATCTTACTTGGTCATAGTTGAACTGCCGTGTATTGTGCTCAAATATGCTTCATCTTTGCCGGATTTTGCTATATGCAAACCGCAACTGCTTTCACTTTCATAGTAAAAAACATCCATATGTTTACATTCTACAATATATTCATTAAAAGCTTGGCCGGTTTCAAATGTTGTTTGAAACTTGGCATCGTGAAGAATTAGTGACAAATAATCAGGCCGGACGTTTCTTTCCCACCAAGGCGGTTTACTCATATCAGTTGCAGGTCTAAAGTCTGGAATTGGAAACCTGAAATCGCATTTAAAAGTTCTGTTTTGTACTTTTTTTTTCAGATGAATTAGTACCTTATTTTGAAGTTTAATTCGGGACAAGATATTTTCAAATCCTGAAGAGATATCACCGATGTATCTGGCAAGGGGTTGATTTGACTTTTGTATGCGTCCATTTTTGAAGTTCCACATATTGCAGGATGATTGAGCAAACACGAAATTCTATCTATTATTGACAAGTCAAATTCTACTGCACATTGATCCAAATTTATACTAAAAAATGCACAAATTTAAATACAGAATATTATTAATCATAACTAATGACTTACGAAACTTCTGTTTTTGGTCCATTCCTTCTAATTCCAGCTTTTTTTCCTGATCTTTGCAAGTGTTTAAATTTAAGCCCGAAATTTGGCATCGCAAAGCTAGGAGCATTAGCAATTTGAGGAGATCGAAAGTTTATAATGGGAACTTGCTTGAAACCGCTATTGTAAAGGCATTCGGATATTTCAAATTTTGAAGCTGTGAGGTCACCAGATATCCAGAAAGCGCTTGAAGTTGTTGTTTCGTTGGCTTCTAACTTTAATGGCGACGCAAGCAACCTAGAAAAATGATGCTTAATTTGTTTTCATTTCAGTAAATTAGACAAGATTGGAAGTTTTTCCATTCAGATAATATTCTGTATTACATTTTGAGTTAACAAAATACATATTCCCATGTTCATTGTCTCTTATTTAATTAATGATAGATATTTCAGTCAGCATGTTTAATAGTTTTTCTATACATGGTTCTATACCAGACCAAATAATCAAAACATTAATTTGCTGAATATTTCCTGAAGTTTTGGAGGTACTGCAAAAATACTGCATTGGATGGGTACTCGAATTAACCTGGGAGTACACGCGTGTCGGTCAAAAAGACTGAGCATTGATAAAACCAATAATTACGCCACTGGTACAAGGATGGCAGTTTTGTCCATCCAAGAATGCCTGATGCAGGTTTTCCACGACTCATTGGCCCAAAAATATTTTGTTTTTTTTGTTGAAGTATAGTTCGTTGTTTTCATAGTCGGTGCTTTATTATTCTGAGATTTGAAGCCTGATTCTATGAAAAAAGGCACCCAGAAAAATTGAAAAATTGATAAACCACTTAAAATTGCTTAACACGATTTTATTTCTATATAGAACTTTGGGTCCAAATGAGCTGGAATTTTCAGGAATTGTAGTCCTCTACTGGAATAAGAATCGCTGAAAATTTCAGCTTTCTATATCTGATAGAAAAAAAGTTGTGACCTTTGAAAATTTTCCAAAATTTAAATCAGTACTAAAACGACGAAATTTCAAAAAATTGTTGAGATTCTGGGTCCTAGTGGTCCCTCAAACTCCATACACTAAATTATTGGGTGCTTTTCACCAAGCGCGTGAACCTGAATATCTGAAATATTTGTGTTCAAAATTGGCATTTTCTGATATTGGGAGTACCTTTGGCTGTCGATAGACGATAATACGGCAACTGTACTGCATAATATAATTCCCTTTGATATTATAAGGAATTCTAGGAATTATACAGTGGTTTGACACGTTTTTCGCGGAAACGTTCTTAAACGTATCCTGAACGCTAAAGGTATGACCTACGCAGGTATTATTTGAAAGTTTCATGTCTCTATTGATAGTAGACCTGCGTAGGTCATGACTTAGCGGTTGGAGACGTTTGGGATCGTCTCCGCGAAATAAGCTAATATTTCATATAAATATTTGAGCATGCAGTCGATTTGACTGTACGCGTGCAATGACGTAAGTTTTTTGTCGCGTGTAATACCGAGTTAAATTCGTTTTAAAAAGCTTGGTCAAAAACGACATTTTCTTATTAATAAGAATTAATACTAATAAAGTGCACTTTGGTTTTATTTTCTTGGTTCAAATTTTTGTATTCTTACCTTAAATGATTTAAGCTACAAGCATTTTGCAGTGACTTATGCACCTGATCAAACCCATCAGAAACAATTCCGGTGAATGTACTTGAATCAATATTTTTGAAAAACTTGTCAACAAGAGACTGCATTTGCCACACCAACACTTTTTCATTGCCCGTAGTATTTGCTAGCAAATCTTCATGAAGTAGTATTACAGCAAGGGTGGCAATACGTACTTGGAAGTGGGATATTTCCGCAGTTGGATCGGCATTGATATTGTAGGCTAAAAGAAGGGTATTTTTTATTCCAAAACAAAAATCCCAAAATATAAATCAATACCTTTTCTTCTGTGACGTGTATTTTCAGTCATTGAACTGATCATACTAGAAGTTATACTAGAATCCATTGAACTGCTAAAACCGCTCATTGAGCTATCATACATGGCACTATTATTGGCTTCTCGCATTGGAAGATATTGGCTATCAGTACTTTCATCTAAAATACAGAAATATCAAAAAAGAAAAACCCAAGAAAAAGTCAAACATTATACCTAAGTCTCCAGTGGACCACCCATGACCATGTAACAAATTAAACGGATGGAATTTATTGTTAGTTATATTTCCGAGTTGTTCTTCAACGTTTTCATAGTCTTTCGCAGTCATCGGTCTCGGTTGTGGACGATTTTTGTGATGGACGTTGCTGTTGTCTTCTAAATCCGGACTAGAAAATCCGTTGATTAATTCGAGCATTATGTGAAACTGTCTCGGGGACAAAAACAGAATAAGTGATCCCAAATTCAATTCTATTGCAACTTTTGGCCCGAAAATGTTTTCAGATTGTTTTAGACGAATTTTAACCTAGAAGATTTATTATTATTAATTGCTAGTTTTTTTAATTTATGCTTATTCTACCTCTTGATTGCTAAAGCATTTACCGCAAAGTATAACATGCCTAAGACTGTCATCATTATTTAATTCACTGCAACTTTCTGTATCTTCAGTTTCTTTATTGTCATAATCGGCTTCTGTGGTTTCAAAAAATGCTTCGTCTTCTTTTGAAGAGTCTCTGCTGTCCTGTCTGTATTGCCAACAATATAATAGCAGTCAGCAATAAAAATATTGTTCTTACCTAATCAAAGATCTAGAAACGGTTCTATCTTGGCTATAAAATTCAACTGTAGAAAGTTGTATGCCTTTAAAAATTATATTTTTAGTAGTGAAAGCGTCAATGAGGTAAGCTTTTTTTGAATCCGGTTTGGAAGGATCCAAAGTATCTTCATCGTTGGACGAGTCAGTGCTATAATCATCGTAATATTCCATCCTGAAATAATTCAATGCCTTATGTAAATTCTGCACAGCGTCTTTGTGTCCAGAACAGTAATGCCAGAATTTTATATGAACTATGTCAAGGACAAATTGATAATTATTATCAATTAGTCTTATCAGGAACATAAACAATGCATAGACATTATGATAAACTCTTTCAAATTTGTAAATTTTGCATTTATTCAGCTCTCCTTTGAATCTAGCTATGCAAATAATAAAAATAAAATTAACACTCACAAATCTATGTTTATAAGTAACCCAACTCCTTTATCACTTTCCCTTGGCAAATGTTCAATTTGCAATTTGGTATCTATAAATTTCACTTTGACTTTTCTCACAACTGAAAAACAACTCGACAATTAATAAGTTCAAACGATGTTTGTGAAAACTTGTAACCTGTATCAATAGTTTGGGCGAACAACTCTATGCCCTCGAACGCCGGAGTATTTCTATCTTTTTTGGCGGCCTCTTCTTTTGCAAACTCCTCTGCCAGGTGCATTGAACTTGTCATGGAGTTCCACATCGATTCGAACATGGAAGTTGCTAAAAATTGTTATTGTATAATTATAACAATAATATAATTATTTGTTACCATCTTCTTTTCGTTGTTTTGGTTGGACAGTAATTTTCAAACCACATATTTCCACTTCGGTTGAATCGCTGAAAATAGCTGTCCATGGAACTGTTATATGGATTTTCTCGATGTATCCGTCAACAAACTCTATAGGCCAGTTTTGGCTTTCTCCCAGTTCATTGAGCGCCTAAATATAGAAAAGCAAATTCAGTAAATTTCTGACTTTTAAATAAACCAAACCTATATGATGTAAGAAAGCATTTACTAAATACTTATATTGACTAAACTCTTTGTTATTTGATACTATTTAAAATTCTGCACTGGGTCAAGGTTAATTTTGATATTGAAACAAAAGCATATAATTAAATCCATCAGCTAGCTTTATTTGTTAGTTGACGCTTAAAATAATGAATTAAACATTGTTTGATTTACCTATACGTCAATAATTATAAGGAAAGTTTTTGGATATTATTATTAGGTAAATTGGATTAGGTAATTTGGAACATATATTTACGTAGAAAAAGATAAGATAAACTAAGCTGCAACAAATTATTCCAAAGAATTAGCCAAGAAAAACAAGTAATACCTTTATATTAAAGGACTTGAAACTTAAATATTTTGGTTTATTCTAAAAATATTTTATTTGGGGAAGATTTAGGTCATAAAATTTTGAGAAATAAGTTATATTGAATTAATTCAGATTGCTAGAAATTTTACAAATCATTTTCACAGAAGATAACCATGGTTATGTTAAATACCTTATTAATAAGGAGAACTGGAAGGATATGTTTGCTTCCTTTTGTAACACATTCATGCATTACTTGAACTTCACTTTTCCAAAGAAAACCAATAGGTAGGATGAGCAAATGCAATAAGAAACATTACTTGATCCAGATGTTTTGAGGCTCTCTAATCTAATGAAGTTGAAGATTTACATTAATTGAAAAAATCTCAAACAACCATCGAATGTTGGTGTCCACAAAAAGCAACTTTCCCAAAAACAAACCTTAAATCTTAATTAAAAAAAAAAATACAATTTCTCAATAATCGAAACACACTACTGCATCTAGTCTGAGCGTATCTATGACCTAATTTTGTTGTAGATGTTTGTTTTTGAACAATAAAGTACTATCAATCAATCATCTTCGAGCTTCTAAAATCTTCAGAATACAATCTCCAAGAGACCTTAAGTCTCCAAATCAAAATCAAAATTAATGTGTAATATTTCGAAGCATCCTACATTTATGAGATTTTTTTGGACTTGCGGAAAATTTGAACAGCAGTTGAATTTCCGTCCCCATCCAAAACTCAAGAAAAACGAAAAAAACTTCATCTATCTATCCTTTGCCAATTGCAAAACCAGGTGTAAAGTCATTCATGCTTTTTATATTTTATTATAGGAATGTATTTTCTATTTTCTATTGCTAGATAAATAAATAAAAAGACAAAATTAAGTCATGAATTTAGACCGAGGTTTAGAATAAAATAAACAGTACCTAGGTACTGCCAGATAATGTTTCATCACAAATTATTTGAAATAGTGTCTTGACAAGGTCTCGACACCCATTCCTTAAAAATTTGTAACAGTAGGTTTCTAGTTTCTACCCAAAACCAACTGTGGGCTTCTTCAAATAGGTGATGATAAATTAATTAAAAAAGTTTACCTTATTGTTTCCTATAGGAGAATTTTTGGAGTAACCTTCACAGTATGAGATACGAGACATGCATAGAAATAGTATTACGAATTACAAGTGTGGAAAGTGAAAAATTTCACACGAGTGTTTTTTTGTGCGAGGCGGCAATCAAGTGCGAAAATCACACGAGTGTATGAAAGACGCTTTTTCACAAGTGATGTACAGGGTGATCTATTATAAATGTCACCCCTCCTAAGATTTTCATTTGACATTTTTGACAAAAGTGTCAAATACAAAAGTTTTAAGAAATTGTCAAAAGATTTAAACTAAGTTAATAAGTTAGTTTAAGGCATACAGGGAGCGTCAAAAAAGTGCAGCAGTGTGAAGCGAGGTGTGAAGTTATATTTTTTTGAATAGAACATCCTTTATATTGTGCGCTTATTTGTTAGTCCCCTTCAACCTGATTTCAACGATATACGGTTTGATATGTCTATCTTCGATAGTTATAGGGAAAAACATGGAAACCATTTTCAAGGTTTCATGTTGAAAAAAGAAAAAATATATCGGGTCATCAAAAAAAAAAAAAAACAATCAAAGATTGCTATGGTTTTTTTAAACAAATGTCTTAGCAATAGTTCTCTTTAATTTTGTCAATGAATTTTATTGTCAAAATGTCATGTCAAAAATCCTGACCGATAAGGGAACAATAATGAGACATAAAGGGTGTTTTTTTTTTAAGATAAAAGTCAAAATGACATTATGTTGGCGATAAAATGTAAAATTGTCAATGCTTTTTGTAGAAAAGGCTTGTGTTGCCAACATAGTTACTAAATTTTTGACTTGGGGAATTATAACAGTCTTTACGTTTTAAAAACCATAGCAATCTTTGATTGTTTTTTTTTTTGAAGACCCGATACCATTTAAAAGCTTCAGAGAATTATTTTTATAAACAGTTTATTGTTGAAATTTTATTTATTAATATAAAATGTGAAATATTATAATAAATCCAGATGTCTAAGTTATTATTATTATTTAAAAAAAATATAACAAGAGAGACTAGGGATTTATTTGCATGCGATGGAAGTAGGGTAGCTCTGTGCGAAGTTTGTGCAGGCTTGACATCCTCAGAGGTGAAGGTCCAGCAGCTTAAAGATCTAGTTATGTCATTCCACCGCAAGAAATGTAAAGAATTTGACACTTTTACGCCGCTTTTAGAGAACACAATTGAAGATAAATCTAACATTATTGTCAGTAAGGAAAAAATAATTTTTCTGCTTAAAAAGCGAATAGAGGAGTTGAAACAGAATGAACCCAGATCAGCAAATATATTAACATACAGTCAAATTACCAAACAAGGTAAAAAGAAATAAATGTGAATATACGTAGCCTAATTATAAAGCCTAAAAAACAGCAAAATACTGCTAAAACTTAGACTATCAGAGGCACCCGAGACACAATAAATGGAAGTGTGGTTATTAAATGTCATAAAAGAAGTGATTTGGAAATTTTAGAAAGGGAAGCCGAGAGTAAATTACAAGACTATGAAGTGCAGTTAACAAACATGAGAAAATCACGATTTGAAATTATTGGATATGAAGGCGAACCGGATTTAGAGCAGTTAAATAAGTGCCTGAGAGAACAAAACAAGTTTATAGAAGAAACAAATGATCTGGAAATAACATACATAAAACGCAACAAGAACAATAGTCTGTGCACACTCTATGGAGAATGCAACATCTTCGTTTCACAGATTCAAGGCCAACGCAAAGGTACTTATTGGCTTGGAAAGTTATCCAATTTACAAGGACATTAGCATAATGCGATGTTTTAGGTCCAAAAACACTATCACAAATATGATAAATGTCTAAATAAAGAGGTCTGTGAGTTCTGCAGTGGTGCACACGAGGTATGTGACTGTCCAAAATCCCAAAAAAGATGTAGCAACTGTATGAGGGCCAACCGAGGGGCCAACAATAAATTTAAAACAAACTACGAGACTGCAGTGAATGATCCACTTTGCCCATCCTATCTCTACTTAATAAATGTTTTGAAGAGCAGAATTGACTATGCTGGTAATGGATAGTCAAGAAGTCAAAATCCTAAATGAACTCGATCTTCGTGAAAATACTATTTCTGAGGAAAGTATTGATTGTGATGTGTTAAAACACAAAATTCAAATAAAAAATAAATTTTTCAATATCTTACATATTACCTAATATTCGTAGCATGCGTAAAATTTTAAATGAGTTGTTAGTTCTGCTTGAGACATATAGCCTGAATTTCTGTGACCTAATCGTACTTACTGAGACTTGGCAAATATATAATGAAAAGTTCTTGGTATTTCATGCATGTACAGGCCGCCCTCCACAGACATACTGTGTTTTCTTAAGGAAATTAAAGATCTCTATAACGAACACTCAAATAATCAAATTGAAATTCTTGTTGGTGATATAAACATTAATTTAGCTGCTGAGCATGGAGCATGACAATGAGGAGAATAGCTACATAACAATGTTGGGTCACTTTGGTTTTCTGTCGGCTAACCTTGAGTATAGATCCTTTTTCTTACATTCTGCGCTTACAGACCACTATCCTATAATGCTAAACATAGATCAAGAACACAGCACACAGTTGGGTAGAGTGAACGAACTTAATTCACTGGAAACCTGCAGGCTTGATTATACAATTTTCAATAATTTGATAAAAAAAGGAAAATTGGGAATGTGTTTTAGAATCCCAAGATGTGGAACACGCAAAGATTTTCAGAAGTAGGTAATATCTGAAAGTCTAAATATCTAGCTCTAAAATTAAAAAAAATTATAAAATCAAAGAACACAAAAAAATAAAACTTCGGATTACGAATGGAATCATAAATTCCATTAAAACTAAGGATAAATTTAAAAAAAAACTTTTATAACACAATAATGAAAATAATAGACAAAAATTCAAACAGCACAGAAATTTTCCTAACAACATTATACAGAAGCAAGCAAGTACGATTATTACAAAAAGGAAATTGAAAATAGTGGAAATAATCTGAAGAAAATATACAATTTTATATCCCAAGCTACAAGTGACATTAAATCAAAGGGAAATGCGAACTTGGAAGTTGCTAATAACAACGTTAAATTTAATAACAATAAATATACCACACATTTTTGTAACAATCATTTTATAAATGTAGGTCTTGGAATGTCTAAGAAAATTAAAAAGCCTTTAAATCTTTCCAAAATTAGTTTCACATCGCATTCATCAATGTTTTTAAGGCCAACTAATACAAATTAAATCATAAAACAAATTAATTCTCTAAAATCTAACTCCTCTCAACCGCAGTTGTTATCGTACATAAATCTGGGGATAAATCGAATATAAATAACTTTCGTCCTATCAGTAAGATTTTAGCAAACATATTGATAAGACTGATTCAATCTCATCAATACATTTGCTAAAATCTTTGAAAAATGCCTTTAGGATCGTTTGGTTAGTTTTCTTGAACAGGGTAAAATCATATCACCCAATCCTCGACCAAATCAGTTTGGTTTTGAGGAAAACC